TGGTGTGGCTTTAAGAAATACTCTTTATATTATATTGTGTCCATTAGTTCTGTCATCGAGACCCTCAGTTGTATGATCATAGGCATTCTTTGGTCGACTATAGATAAATCGTTCGATGAGTTGTGTCTGCATTTGTCTTGATCAACTTCCTTGTCCCCTCAGGACTAGCGACCGGCCCTAGTGGTGCGTCGACCATCAAGAAGTCTTCCATGTTCGTGAACTGGATTTTACTTTCACCCCAGGTTACAGACAAAGCGATTATGTTGATTGCTTCATTTTGTTGGCTAGAAAACCCATGTAATGGGTCAGTCAAAACAATGAGATGCATGGTCATAAAATTCATTTTGTTAAAGGAAGCTTTGAAAAAAATAATCCTTGTGCTACACGTATTAACCAAAATACTACTTACCTAGTAGTTACTAATCATTGCAGTAACGTCGATAGCGTCATTATAAGGGTTCACAACTAGAGGAAAATCTGCATCAGTAAAAGTTATCGAGGATTGGTGTTCTCTTGCTGGGACTGAAGCCACGACAAAGTTCTCCCTCAATTGGCTCCTTTTACGGTCGGACCTTTAGATCGATTCACGTCCAAGTATTGATGTTATTATCTTTGATATGTGGATATTATTCACTCGAATGAGTCCATCCAAATTTTCCTCCACATATACTTTCCTCTGTCGCCGGGTAAGTGTATCAAGGGCCACGAACTCCTTGAGTTTTTTGGCTCGTATTAACTCTTCTACCAAGTAATGGAGGTGTTTGTAATCCTCCATTTCATGCCAATGGTCTTTATGGTACTTACAACACTTGTTGGGATTTTAGAGGGAAGAACCGTTCTTCATTGGTGTGGCTTTAAGAAATACTCTTTATATTATATTGTGTCCATTAGTTCTGTCATCGAGACCCTCAGTTGTATGATCATAGGCATTCTTTGGTCGACTATAGATAAATCGTTCGATGAGTTGTGTCTGCATTTGTCTTGATCAACTTCCTTGTCCCCTCAGGACTAGCGACCGCTCTCACATTTTGGACGAGGGCTATCCTTCTGTCTCCATCCATCATCTCTTCAGCTCTTCTTACCTGATTTTCGATCCAATTCTCAACTTTCGAGATCGGCTGGTTCATATATTCCTCGGCTATAATGTGATCATTAGCTAACTCCAAGAGTTCAACCAGTGTTTCGGTTTTTCGCAAACCCAAAAAATGTTTGATTTGCGGACTCTTCAATCCTTATACTAAGGCTGCTTTACTGATTGCTAGCTCTAGGTTACATACCTTGAGCATCACCTTTTAGAACCTTGTAACATACTCCCACAGGTTCTCATTCAGTCCCAATTTAACCTACCACAAAAAAATTTGAATCCTTTCGCGTCTTCTAGGTGCTAGCAAACTGCGCCAAAAATAACTTCCTGAAAACTCTATAGGAATTAATAATTCCTATGAGGAATCCGTTGAACGACCTGAGTGCAAAATCTCTCAGAGTAGTGTAGAACAACCGACATTTTAATGCATCAAAAATCTTGTGAAGGCAGATTGTCGACCTAAAAGATGTAAGCTTCAACGATATGTTGGGCGAATGCATTTTCTATCCAACGGTAGACTTTTATTGCCTCTAATTGCGGTCTTCTCCTTAGCAAAAACCTAGCATTGTCTTGGTACTGGGACTCCTCCATTTGTTTGGCTGCCTGAGCTAGTTACTGATCTTGTGGTTCGGGCGTCGGTGGATGAGGTTGAGGGAGATCTTCTACCTACATTCAAGCACAACACAAATTAATTATGCAATCTGGCTTGTCATCCTATCCTGGAACTCTTTAATTTGTTGCTACACAAATTTTTGGATGGACTCCGCATTAGAGGCTTCTCCTTGTTGTGTTTCTTCACCTTGACTCGCTCCTCGTGATGTTGCAGACATGGCTCTGTGCTTACCGCACATTTTGAGATGTTGAATCTCAAATTATCCTGTGGATCACACTCAATGAATATAGCAGTGGCCATGTGAAAGAAAATGGAGTAGGACAAGAATAAGCTCAAGTAACACTTAGGTTTTAGTGGAATTGTTCAATCCTCTTATTTATGATAATGACCCTCCTATTTATAAGTCAAAAGAAGGGTATGGTATACACAAATCCCTCATTTAATGGAAACATTACAGTTATCTATGATATATTTGTAACTTAGATAGGCATAATTTGACCCTATAACTGCTATTGGTGTATCTTCATATTTTGTAACTGTGCTTGGGGTCGTTTTTTGTTCATAAGTGCTGGGTCTAATGACCTTGTGCTCGTTCGATCGATTAGGAATTGATAGGTCGATCAGATGACTTATAGTCGGCTCCCCTGAAGGATTTAATCGTAACGACATGTCCTTTGGTCTGCTATCCTCAATGCAGTCGCGCATTATACGTTTGCTTGGTCTGTCTAGAATGAAATCTGACAGGTGTACTGTTAGATGTTTGCACTTTTATTGATATTCTTCTTAGGATTTGTAGGTTCTCCACGAGATTCCAGCTGTCGTATTTCTAATGGACATCATTATTTTTAACAACTTATTATTATTATTATTATTATTATTATTATTATTATTATTATTATTATATAACTTTTATTTTAATAGCGTGTCCAACACATATTCATGTCTTATATTTTTAATAATGAATATGTCTCGTGTCCATATCGTATCGAACAATCTTTGCCAACATAAATTAAAATCATTTAAGATATGAAATAATAGCTTGACATGGAGAAGAAATGGAAATACCTTTTAAGATTTACTGTTTAACTATAGGTAACTTTTACTATGTAGATTCTTGCGAAACATATATAGAGAGAGAGAGTGTGTTTGTGGGGACACTTTCCATCATATTTTATTTATTTATTTATTTATTATAGGTGAGCCTTTCACTCATGTTAGTTGTTAAACGTCAATGTGAATTGAAACACGTGCCTCACAGCTGGGAGACGGACACGTCATGTACCGCATTAACTTATTTATTTTTTAAAATTTCACATCATCCAAATGATGATTGTTTATAAAATTACTTATCACATCATTTGCTTGAATAATTGAAGTTGTAATATTTACGAATGCCATGATTAAATAATTATAAAATTAATAAAATGATAAATACAGGCTAAAACATTATTTAAATTTTGATATTTAGGTGAGAATTTCAAAAAAAAAAAAATGCTAAAATGATGTGAATTTATAAATAGTTGGGATTTGAGTATTATATTTGTATGCAATGGCTCACAACAAATTCAAATATGCCATGTTCTTCAATTTTTTTTAGTCATGTTAATGGCATTTTATAGCTACTTTAAAATCATGCTATGAAACCCATCTTATTATGACTTGGCAACTAATTGGGTGAACCAACATAGCTCACAAACTACTCATAACCTCATTAAATTCAAGATCTTTCAATCAATTAATATAAATATTCAATCGATAAGTAAAAAAAATTTAATCTTGCTAATCTTTGAGTTATTTATGGGTATGAACATTGTATAATGTGAGTTAAACTCGAGATAAAAATCTAATTTTTATTTTCCTTATCTCTGAAATAACTTTGATTCGAGATAAAAATTTGTAGCAGCTAGGAAAACTTATGCCTTAGCCCAGTACAATTGTCCACAACACAGAGACAAAGATAAGTGTAAACCAGATTTTTTACATGAAAAATCTCAAAAAAGGGAAAAATCATGGGGTATGACCTAATTAATGTAATCCACTAGAAATTTGAAAATAAAATTGTTCACTCTTCTTCCGTATTAGAAAATGAGATGTTACAAAAAGAGATGACCACAGCTTTATGTTAACAATTCGGCTATAGCAATCATAATTGGGCTATAAGAATTGTAATTGATAGCTATAATAATAATAATTTGTCACAAAAACTATAGTTGATTTTTATAATGGTCATAGTTGGTGATGACTGACAATGATTTTTGGTGACTGATGGTGAATTCTAGCGGTCAACAAAAAAAATTTTTGTATGCTACTCTTCATGTATTTATGAGCAAAATCCTCACAAAAATATCATCCTTTACATGCTACTTTTATCGTGTTACACAATTTCACATAAAAATCATCCTTTATATGCTACTCTTCATGCATTTATGAGCAAAATCTTCACAAAAGCCTAGGACATTTACTATTCAAAAATATTGTAACACATAACAGACTATTTTTGGTGTAATACGACACAATTCGTTAATCTTTTATTATAATTAATTATGGGTTATGAAATGATTCGTGGCCAATTGATTGAAAAGGATGATTTATCAAAGATTATGAATTTGAATCATATTTTATACTTTATCATACAATGTTTTAAATAAAACAATTAAATTGGATTATTTCAAAAGGAAAAAAAAACTTAGAATTTTAAAACAATAATTTACACCTCGGATATGTTAATGTTTTTTCTAATAAAAAAATAGAAATAAAATAAAAACTCACAGATAACTTCAATAAGTTTCCTACTATGGGCATTATAAATATATCACAATCATTAATTATAAATTACAATTTCCTTCCCTACGGGCCAAGTCATCATGATAAGCCACCCATCAATGCCGACTTAATTAAATCTCATTAGTCAATACCTGGAGAAAATCAAAGGAAGCCACGTAACAAGGGATGCCAATCATTAAAACAGTCAACTAATGTGGACTAATGATCTTCCAAGCACGACTCTCAAAGCATTTACGATAAAATTTAAAAATTTGATGATTAAATTCTTCCAAGCACGACTCTCAAAGCATTTACGATAAAGTTTAAAAATAAAATTTCAACCGGTAAAAAGAAGATAATATCAGTATTAATTGGCTTGGTTGAAAGATAACTTGAAAGCTATTGTTGAACTTCTATGGTTCAAAATATGTGCCTTGCACTCATCATTCAATATTTTTGCTCATATCTAATTAGTAGAGGCATTGTACAATAAACAATTGTATCAGTAATTGGGCCCTTTGCATCAATTATTCTCTTAAAAAAACAATGGAGGGATTTAAACCTGCACTTCAGTTGCATAATCTGACGGTGCATGCCACTGCTTGAGCCCAATACTTCAACCTTGCTTTAACATCATCAGGATGGTCTCCTGGCAAAAAATAGGAGAAAACCCAAATATAAAGCTAAAACTCCTTAATTCACATGAATACATTTTTTGCCAAGCTGAAAAAATTGTGTCAAAATATTTGGATACAAAGTGAATAAAAATGGAGAATTTGTTTTGAGATTAGTGCTGAATTTGAAATTTTTATATTACATAAATAATAGAGCAAATCAAATGATTTTCATGCTTATTCCAATATAATATACCTTCAAGCTGGATGGAACGATTATTGCATACCGATCAGGACTATTGAAATACAATTTTTTTTATTTTTTTTATTGTTAGAGGGGGCCGCTCTAATTTTTTCAAGTTCCTGATCGGAGCAATAATTTTTCAGCTGAATGAGTTTGGTTTAGAGGTAAAAGAGAGGTAAAAGATTCAATCTCCTCAATCTCCTCAAAAAAAAAAAATTTATCTGGTGAAAATTGATCTCTGTTCTATTAAAATCATGAGATAAGATCCCCCATAGTTTTGGCACTAAAAAAATGAATCCTTTTTCACATCAATTGTGTAGTTATGGGTTATCCAAGGTGGCATTTTCAGCCTTTTCTAAAGTAGATAAAATTAGTGATAAGATAGATAAGACAATTAAATGGAAAAAAATTACTCCACAGATGCACTAGGCAATAATAAAACGAATCAGCATCCTCTTGAAAAATTATTGCATACGACACTCCATATAGAGATGTATGTGATCTCTACACCGTAGATCACCGACGGTGAGGATATATTTCGATAAGCCTCACTTTAAATGATTTTATTTTTTATTTTTCTTTAAATTTGATTGCATCCTTCATAGACCAACGTGATCTACGGTCTCATTCGATCATTAGTTATATTAAAATTTCAATTCCCTCTGCCAAATAAATGCCTTCTTCCAGGAGTTGAGAACAAAAATTCTCCAAACAATTCGAGACTGAAATAATTAAAATCCATAAATCAGGAAAGTCTTCAAACCCAACCGCATCTCGAAAACCCTAAATCTTTTAAATCCATCAACATAAAAAAAGGAAGGAAATAACTCACCAGGGCTGGAGATCTTCCAGTTAGCGACTGGTGTTGATGGCGCTCCCACCTCCCCGGCCACACCACTAGAGTGCTTCTGTTGCTGCTCGTCGAGGAATTTCTGACTCATCGAGTAGCAAAGCTCAAGAGCGGGCAGAGTATTGCAGAGCTCAGGGATCTCCTCATAGACGAATCCAAACCCTAGATCCAAACACCCCCTAAGCTCCTCCAGATCATCGTCGGTCAAGCTTTTCGTCCTCCCCACCATTTCCTCTCCTCCTTCTGACCTTTTCTGACCTCCTTCTGTCACTTCAAAGTAACCTTCCAGCATCACAGCGCCCTTCCCTTTCCGCTGCCACCGCGGTGGAGCTCCATTGTTCCGTTCCTCCCCAATCCTTCTCGATCTCGCGGGCTTTGTCTTCTTTTTGTTTGCTTCCTTCTCTGCAGAGTCGTAGCCAGCTTCCGTGCTTGGGTTAGAAGGTGGGGAAATAGGGGAGCCCCTCCTGAAGGAGAGGGCTTCCATTTTTCCCCTCTTTCTCGCTCGGGTTTTTTAGCCGGAGGGACGCCTTAAATATGCGTAAGGAGAGGGTCAGCCGCCGGAGAATATTTGAAATTGTAAATTTTATTTGGAGGGTTCACATACATATAAATGTATTTACATATTTAATAGTTAAAAGCTAAATTTTTATATATATATATATATATATATATATAGATAAAGGAATAGCCAGAGGCTATTATACGAGTCTTCAACCACTCCTAATTTGTCGAACAATTCGAGTAGCACCATTTTTAAGGCTCATGTCGCTAGAGGGAGATTTGAACTCCTGACCTGAGGGATCTTACACCAATGGTCCAATGATGCAAACAAACATGTGGAGGTACGCGACACTAGGGACTTAGATATATATAAGTATGTAGGAGTTGAGTGTTATGTAGGTAAATGTCCTATTTTATATGTATCAAATTTATTTTTTAAAATAATATGTTTTATAATTATTTTGCTAAAATTTATCTTATAATCATTTCAAAATAATTTTAATAGTTATATAACTCATTTTAAATAAAATTTAATTTACTTTAAATTAGAATATATTGACTCAAACATTTTTAGATGAAAATAATATCACTAGCTCCTCATTTTATATTAAAAGTTTGTGATGTTTTTAAATTTTGAAAATATTCAATTAAAAGAATGTAGCAAATAAATTTTTTCTTGAAAATAACCCAATGAAATACCATCTTCTAATATTGAAATTCTTGTGTATTCTTTTAAATAATTTTGATTTAATGGAAGGTATTTTGCATGTTTTTTATTTCAGGTACAAGAGATTGAGTTTTGGAAAAAATGAAGCAAAAATGGAAGGAATTTAGAGTCAAATGGAGCAAGGTATAACACTTGGAGCAAATTGGAGCGAAATGGAGCTAAAACGGGGCTAAAAGAGGCAATTCAAGCAAGGTGGAAAAAATGACCTTGCGCCATGGCAATAAAAATTTAGACTTAGGCTCATTTGATAGAGAAAAATATAAGAAGTTCATTGGTGCATATGGTTTTGGTCAAAACGATCCCCATCTCAAGATATTTTAGGTCAAAGTAGGCCCACACCAGTACAGAGAGAAAATTGTTAGAATTTAAGTTAGAGTTTTTAGGTGGTTTTAATTTTCAAAATTGAGAATTTTTAAATTTAGATCAAATTTAGTAGAAGTCCGATTTTATTTGTAGCTCATTTTAGGTCACTTAGTTGCAAAATTATCCTTTTATTATGAGAACTATCATTGCTTGGAAATATAGATGTTTTGAGTCCAACAATGATCCCGGGAGAAAACAATAATTTCATGTTTTATGTTGATTAAGGCATGTTTAAGTCTTTTTTTAGGTTTCATTAAAATGGGTTATATTTGAAGTATGCTTTGATTAATTTCAATTTTCATTGATGTAGACTTTAATTTTATTAATTTAGAGTTTGCTCAAAATTCAGCTCAGATGAAATTTAGTTAAAAACAAGCCAAAAAAAGATTGCCTAAAAAATGAGGTCACGACTGTCGGCACTAAAAAGTTGAGGAGTTGCCCGTTGGAAGTTGTCATATTTTTCATAGTTTAAATGAAAGAGCGATGTACCTCAAACCCTATATCTATCCCAAAGGATAAACACCACACTTGAGGGTGAGGCTCGATCAAACAAATTAAGAAATGTATGATGTTCGTTTGGTTTGTGAAATCATTTAATTTGCCGACAAATTCTCCTATTTAATATGAAGAATTAAATAGGGTTTATATTAAGCTGGGTTCGGACAAGCTTTCTATAAAGGCAAGCCCCTACAGTTAATTACATCTTAAATGATCGAAGTCACCTAAGAAAACTCTCGATAAAAATCAGGAAATATTATCTTCAAGGAGTTCAAAATAATATAATTTTTCAACGAGATCGAACGTAGATGTGTGAAAGGGGAATTGTTCAAATTTGGAACATTTTATTGCAGAGTCCAAAGGAGGAAGAACTAGGGCATGTCACAGATCCGAGGGAGAACCTCAGTGACTTCCCAAGCTATCCTAATGTTTGGCTTCAGTTTTGAGAAAAAATATTTAGGTGTTTCATCATGCCAATTTTATTTGTTATGGCTTACATTCGTGTGAAACGATCACACAAATAGCCTGAAATATGTGAGGATTTAACTCGTGACGAACGACAACCTCGGAATCCTAAGACGAGTTAGGGCTTAGATTGTACAACAGAGCTGTACAAAGGCCTAAAGATAAGGTGAGGATTTATGTTGCATAAGCAAACAACCTCGAAATCCTATGGCTTGGTTGTTTAATTCTAAGGAAGGAAATGGGTTTAGTTGGGGAAGACATGTTTTGCTGTTGAAGATAGTTGTGATGCCCACCATACTACCTCCAAGCTCCTTGTTGTGGATAGTTTAAATTTTTTAGGGTGTCAAGTTATGATGTCAAATCAGGTGCCCCTAGGGTTGTAGTTCTTTAAATATTATGGGGCATATTAAAGTTGATTAGAGCGACACCGGTTAGGATTATATGGTTCCCTCATTCCGGCACCACTATTTTTTTTTGGATTCACTTAGTCCAAATGAATTTACTAAAATCGACTTAATGAGTTCCATACTTTCATTTAGGCCATGGGAAATCTCGTTAGCAACCGTAGGTTGCCTCCTCCGAGGGATTCCCGATCATCCGATAGAGACATTTTAATTTAGTTGCAATTTTTGTTTTATTTTATTTGTGATTAAATTTTGA